CTAGAAACCTTCCCTGGAAAAATCCAGGGTGCCAAAATTACTCCAAGAGAGCATCAACAGCTCATCGTGGGGTTCACAAGTGAAAACACAACAACATCTAAAGACCTGCACTACACACTTAATTTCAGTTAAGGTCCCAGTCATGATCCAACAATAAGAAAGAGACTGAGCAAAAATGGGAGAGTGTCAAGGAGAAAACCACTGCTGAGCAAAACAGAAAGGCTCGTCTTACATTTGTTACAAACATTTTTGATTAACCCTCGAAGTCTTTGAGGAAATATTCTGTTGACTGATGAGACAAATGTTGAACGTTTTGTAAGGTTTGAGGCTTATTCTAGCGTAAAACTAACACAGAATTCAGAAAATGTGATCCTAGTTTGAGTCAAATACGGTGGTGGTAGTGTGGTGGTCCGGGGCTGCTTTGCAGCTTCAGGGTGGCTTGCTGTAATTAATAAAACCACGAATTGTGCTCTAGACCAAAAAGTTTGAAGGAGAACATTTGACCATCATTTTGTGCTGCTAGCTCACTTGAGTTGCAGCAGGACAATAATCCAAAAAACACACCAACAAAATCACCTCTGAATGGCTCAAAACATACCAAAACTAATGGAGTGAGCGAATCGAAGTCCAGAATCAGACTGAGATGCTTTTGGTGACCTAAACAGGTTTTAGCTGAAAACCATCTACAGTGTAGCTGAATTAAAACTTGCAGTTCTTGCTGCCAAAGGGGGCAAAACCAGTTATTACATTTAGGAGACATTGGCTTTTTTACACACGGCCATGCTGGTTTTGACAGCATTTTTTTTTTGTAATTTAAATCATCAGTTAAAAACATATTTTTATATACTCAGGTTAAGAGCTGACTGGGAAAAACAAGTAGACCTATCAAAGCACTACAGAAATATTTTATTTAAAGTCAATAATATCATATTGAACTTTTTTCCATATATAATTAATTACTAAAATAATGAAATCATGATAATATAATCAATAATGAATTGCATTGTTTATATATTTCATACATATTTTTTGAAATGTGATTTTCACTGTTTTCTATTTAAATAACTTAATTTTCAAATAAAATCAACAGCACTTACATAAACTAAATGAAATAAGTCCACATGAGCTACTTTGATATCTTCAGGTGATAAATTTGGAAGTAGTCTCACATCATTTGAAAGAATACAGTTTTCTTACCCAGAAAAAGGCGCAGTTTATTATGACACATGAAGTTTGCAAATTTGCAAGATCATTTCTGACTTTGAAATTTGCACTTTTACACATCATCCTATAATGTCTTTTAAACTGCGTAATGCAAATTCAATGTCATTCTACCAGAACATGTATCAGTTATCAGTGTCAGCTTCCTCCAGAGGACGTGTTACAGTTTGTTTGTTTTTTGAAATAAAAACAGCAAGACATTTCTATTAGTTTAAGTATAGGAAATTTGTTGTTATTTATAATATTTTATATTAAATGAAAACATCTTCACAAAGTAATTAACTGATTAATTTACTATTTCAATTCTTCTCCAACAAAAAATACTACTACATTTCATATAACATAAGTTCACATAGGTTTCACATTTCAAAGATAGTTTCAAAGAATCTTGAGCATGTCTTGAATGATACAGCTCATATTTACATTATCTATTATAGCACAAAGGTTTTATGTGTCTACACATTTTACATTGAATGTGCAACACATAAACAAAACATAGTCTCAGTCATTAAACACTGTAAACTTTGCCAGTGTTCTCGTGGAGAGGCTGTAACGTTTTAATAAAATTGTTGTATGATTTTTGAGCTCAGTAAGGTTACTGTTACTGTTACTCAAAAAAAAACCCTATTATATTAGATGATACTTTTCTTAGTAGTAATGCACTAGATTACTTGATTACTAACTGAAGAAAATCTTTTCTTTTTAACACACCAGGTCAAAATGTTATTATGTTAATGCTTTTCAGATGGATTTTGGGCTTATATTATTATTATTATTATTATTATTATTATTATTATTATTATTATAAAGACATTTTGCATTATTTTCCTATCAAATATCACTAATGGCAGTTCTGGCGTTACATAAAGTTTAAAAATGTTTCTTAATTGTCCAAATGAGAATTGATGTTTCGAAACTTTTGGGTGTATTTTGTAAGTAATGTTTGCTTGTAAGATGTTGCCTGTAAAATACAAATTTAAACACATCATGTACATTTCACACAATTCTTTAAACCAATAAAACTTCAAATTAAAATTATACACACAAAAAATGTCTCTACTCACAAGTTACATATACCATGTTGGGAGCTGGGAGGGGATCCTCTGGTTTATACACATAGAATTCTTCTGGACAGAGGGCCACACTCACTAAAAAACGATGTCCATCACACCCATTTGCAGTCCCATTTGTCGGATACAGAGACAAATTAGTTGGTAAGGGAAATGGTATAAAAATGGGGACAAGTGTAGCACCAGTTTGGAGAAGTGTAGCACCAGTTTGGACTGTTACACAGGATGTAACAACTGTGTCTCCACCAATCCCCGTAAAGCGCAACCATTTGCCAAGAAAATCTGCATCATTTTGGGAATAACCAGTAAAAGGGGTAGATGCAAAGGCTAGGTTCCGCCATGGTTCATTTATCTCAGTGTATCCATCACAAGAACCTGCAAATAACAAGCAAGCATTGGTATCATAGTAGTTATCTTACACGTTTTTGGAGGATTTGCTGTGGGTTTTTTAGTATTTGCTGTAGCAGAAAATCTTACATACCAGGAGGAAAATCACAAGAGACAGGTATGATAAACAAACCTATCAAAGGGAAAAATACTGGTGAATGAACTAGTTTTCATTGCTTTAAAATGTGATTTTCAACAGCTAAAACCAAAAACTAAAACTTTTGCGATTAAAGTATTGTAAACATTGACTGAAATTTACACATATCTTTGTGAAATGCTACCTAAAGTCATAGTAACTGTTTATAATTTACCATCATTTGATTAGAAATATGTGTCTTTGAATCCAGAATCTAAACTAAAAATTTGTTCCATCTTAATAATCTAGTTTTCTCATTAAAATTAGCACTGACATCAATTTAATACCTTTAAAATTATTTTCTCTGTCAAATTCACTTACCCAGAAAAAGTGACAAGGCACAGTCCATAGTGACAAGTCAAGCCAAGTCTCCAGATCTGTTCTGAATGTTCACATTGTAAAACATGAACAACACCCAAATATTGCTTTTAAAAGCATTATGTGAATGCAAAAAGCAATGCAAATTCACCAACTTGTGTTGACTATGTTAAGGACCTAGGAAAGAAACACACACTGTTGACTGCAGGATTTTTATGTTATGTCTTTTTCATGTTTGTGAAAAAGTGTTTTCAGGTTTGTGAAGCATTTATTCTTTTCTTTAGTTCCTTTCTCAGATCTCAAAGACAATGAACACAGTTATACTTAAAATTCCCAAAACAAATCCTGTAAAATCTGCACCAAATCAATTTAGAGACTAAGGACTTTTAAAGCACACTTCAAAATTGATCAAATAGCTATTTTATTTGTGAAATTAAAAAAATAGGGGCTGTCCTGCTTGTCCTACTTTTTTTTTTTTCTGTAGGCCATCTCGTATTTCTGATCTATTGAATATTTGTTCTTTCACACAAAAAAAACATTTCAAGCTTTCAGTCAAAACCTGCATCAGAGCTCACTCCTACTTCAAGACGAACCGTTTCAGTGTTTTGTGTATGCTAATTCATATGTATATGATCAGTGCCTGCATTTGCTTTACATTACCAACTACTCCTCCTTCAGCCTGCCCTCCACCAGTGCCCTACTGTGTGCTCTCATCAAGCTGCAGTACTCATGGCACCTGCATGAAAAATGTAGCCATACTGTGCTTCAGGGGGGCTGTATTTCAGGCCTGTAAAAAGGGCAAGACTCCTTCCTTTCCTCATGCCAAAAAGGCACCCATGATGAGTAAACCTTATTATGGGACATTGATAATTAGTGACCAACTTTCTTCCTCCTAAATTCTAAATTAAAGTAAATAATGTACTTACTTTAAAGTCATTTAAACAGTGACAAAAAACAGAACTTTGGGTGTCAGGTGACTTTATTGAGTAAAATTAAGCAGTATGTAAATCCCACAACCAACCACTTTAATAGCATTAACAGCAGTTTATTGTCTTGTAAAACTGGGCATTACAAGCCACTTGTACAATAGTTGACTCCAACCACTGAATCAATCATTGGTCAATTGCTGATCAATCGTCATTAAGCAACTTTAAATAAGCAAAACTAAAACTTAAGTAAGCAAATGTTTGCTTAACAACTAGATTTATTAAAGAAAAAATGCTGTCCAAACCCTCCTGACCCTGTGTGGAAAAAGTTATGGTCCTCTAGCCCTAATAACTGGTTGTGAAACCCAAGATCTGATGTATGATTTCGGTGCAAGGGCCATAACCTTTTCAAAGTAAAGTTGAACATTTGGGAGAAACACTTGGGACATTTAATCAGCAAGTAGCAGTTTAAAACACTTTCTAAATAAGGAAAAGCACAAGTATTAAATAAAATGCACTAATTTTTCATGACAGAACGAACTTATAAGGTTGATTCACAGGACAAATTCAAATATTTGACAAGAAAGTAAACAGTTGTTAGCAGAAAAGTATATAAATCTTCCATTTCCATCTTTCCCTTCACTTATTTATCAACATCAGTCTCTGTGCTCTTGAGGGATGTCCAAGTCCTCGGACACTGATGGTGCATTTTTCTGTCAAAAAGTAGTGCAGATACTTTAGAAAAACTAAAAAAAATTGTTACAAAAGGTTTAAATTTATTACAAGCAAAGCAACACTTTATGCAGTCACATTTACAACACAGGTTAGCTTTTAAATGTAAAAAGTCTTATTGGTCAAGTGACTGCTATGCAAAACTTACCACTGAGCCGCCTTCTCTGGTCTTGTTGAAAGAACAGGTCAGCCATTTGACATACTCATCTCTAATCTAGAATATGAAATAAATGCACATTTTGAAAAATAAATGAAGTAACTCTCACTATAAAATTCATAAAAAA